CACTCCCTTTTATGTGACCTGCACAAAACAGTCTAGGGCAGTCTTATGGTCCAGTGCATGTTATAAAGTACTTCATTTTGTTGTAGAAGTTCAAGACTGTCTGTGGTTTGGACAGTTTGTAAGTTCAGTGTTTATGTCCTGTACAGCATCAAGCAAGCAGGCAGCCTGCAGTGTCTGAATAATGTTTAATGAACGGTCAATGAGCAGGAACAGAGTTTGAGGATACAGACATGGAGGTAGACTACCCAATTTTTTCTTTAGTGACCTCAGTGATGGAAGAGGGAGCATTCTTAATACATCTGTAGATGAGGCAAAGCTGGAACCAAATGCAAGAACACTGGAAGGCAGGATTAAAATTTCAGGTGATCTTGACAAATTGGTGATACGATCTGAATAAAATAAGATGAAACTCATTAAGGACATCTGCAGGGCACTATGCTTTGGCAGGAATAGTTTCAACTAGCAAATACAGGATGGGGGAAAGTCAGGCTAGCATTTCTGCAGAAAAGGTAGTGAATCCCAAACCAAACATGGATTAAGAATGATGTACAAATGTCAAAAAGGCAAATCCTCAGTGGGGCAGAGGTATTGCACAGAAGTAAAGGCTATGGGTACCATACTATGAGATAGATGTAGACCAGCTGTAAAGTCCAGAGAAGAATGCCAAAAGGGATCAGAACTATGCAACTCATTACTTACAGGGAAAGTCTGAAGAAGTTGGCATTGTTTCACTTCTAGATGGCAAGGAGAGGTGTCAGTGCATTTTTAAAAGTACTTTGAGGAATTAGAAGTCTGTTCAAAGAGAGGAAGAATAGTTTTCTACATCCATAATGGAGAAAGTAAGACACTAAGAACTTAAATTGCAAAAAAATAGACTGAGGTTGGATGTTAAGAAAAACTACTGGTACAGAGTGCAAAGCACTGGGGTATGTTTTCAGATGAGCACAGGCAGTTTCTGTCCTGTGGTATTTAAGAACAAGGCAGAAAAATTTGTGCCAACAATAATCTATGTACACTAAAGAAGTCTGCCTTCTAGCAGAGAGAAGGAAGAGGAATTAGATGACTCCTGCAGTCTTTCCTTTGGTGAGTCTGATGGATCAACGGTGTGTCCACAAACTCTCTGTGCTTGTGCAGATCAGTCCTTCAGTGCATGTTCACTTTGGAGAATTTTTCTCCGACTTCAAAAGTGACACGAATTATTCTTCCCAGGACACAATAATACTCAGAGTATGGGTCATTCTACCAGATGTAGTCATTGTCTCACTGATCTCCAGTGTCATCACATCTTCAATCTGCTGAAGTATGTTTTGAGTTATTTTATCCAGTATATTACTCTATAATACAGAGTCTCGGGAAGCTAGAAGGAGTTTATGCAAATTATTTTTGGTTTTAGGTAGTCTTATCAATGACCTCATTCTAACTTCGAAAGGATATTTCATAATTCTTAAACTCCACAAGGAGTTTCTGTCAACTAGAACAAAGCTGCTTTTCCTTTGGTCTCAGTATCTTCTTACCTTCTTTTCATCCACATGAAAAGTGCACTCACAAAATGCAGGGGATGGGCCTTTCAAAATTTGTTTGCTGTGATTCTAACAACATTGTGGCTCTTTTTGTTTTCAGCTAACTACTGACTTTTGTAATCCTGGAAGTGGTGCTGATCAGTTGAGATGGCATTGCAGTTCTAGAGCTAGACTCTGCTTACAGGTATGACAGTGCTGTTTGAGCCACTTTTCAAACTGAAAGACTGTAGAAACTTTCAGACTGTAGAAACCGAATCCCTCTTTTGCTGTATCAGTCCAGCTTTTTCCTTTGCAACTGGACAAAAATCAGACTAAACTTTAATTTTCCTTTTATTGTCTGTATTTCCCCCCACTTCATTGAATGGCTGGCTTGCATATGCTGTATATGTTTATAGAAATTATAGATGTTTTCACAGAACCGTTTCTGATGTCTTATGTCTCAGGTATGCCCAATGGACTAGGAAGTGGAAAAACATTCCAGACCATGTGAAACCCCATGTGCCCACACATGTCCAATGAATTATTCTTCTGGCATGACAGTGGGAGGCTGTCACTTACATGGAAGGTGAGCAGTGTGTGGAAGGAAAGCCCTCGAGGGACTGCTTTTTCATGACAGCAAAGTCAATAGAGTTGGTGAAAACCTGGCCCTCGCCTCTCTGCTATTTCGCCCTGTGCTTCCATGTATCATGGCTTTTCAGTATGCACCCTGCCTCTTCCATCTTGAACTGAGTTGGTGAAATACATCGAAATAATTTATTTAGTCCTGATTGCCTGGGCAAGTCTTTAATTAACATGCCTATGCACAGGCATAAAAAGTGTAGCTTTATATTTTTTAATATATTATGTCTGGTTTATAAGAATGGGACTGTTCAAATTTCAAGGGTTCTATTCTCAAAGCTAGCGCCTCTGATAAATTGAATGGATTATGTTTTTGTTGGCTGATTTGTTACCTCCATCACTGTGTTTCCAATTTATCAACATAGTTCTGAGAAATTGTTAGAATATGTTGCACTCGTAAGCACCGTGGGGAGAAAAAATATTCATTTATTACTGCTATTGTGTTTGATTATATTATGCATATCCAAAGGACTAAAATGAAATGTCATCTTTAATTCTCCCTTTACAGTAGACAGTATCACCCTTTCTTCTCTCTTTCCAAAACCAGCTTGGAAGTTAATTCTTTATTTTCATTTCAAATCAGCCATATGGAGTAGAAGCAAGTGTGTATTAGGGACAAAGCAGAAGTAATAGGAGTCTGGAGATGTGAGCTCTATTTCTGGCTCTGCCTTTACCTCTTTGCAGTCTTCAGCAAAGTCATTTGACCCCTGGTCTCTAGTCTCTCAGTTCATGAAATAGGAAGAACATTAGCTTCCTACAGATGTCTCTAATAGTTTGCCAGAATCATGTCTTGTCTAATCACTTGTATTTAATATCTCCTATAATCTTGCAAAGTCAGTGAAGGCTGAAGAAGCAAATTTTGCAGGTATCTGAAAATAAAATGCTCTTGGACGGTTAAGACTTGAAGACTATGAGGAGCTTCTAAAGAAGCTAACCCAAGCCAGGAGAACAGGTCAGAAAGATACTGGTGCCATTCAGTGCTGTTAAATACTGGTAAATTATCTATTCCAGCCTGTCAGGAGAGGGAATTTAACATGTTTGAGACAACAGGCTGAACCAGGCCCTCAGCACACAGCCTGGGGCTGTAATAAGCTGCTAGGGTGGGGGTCCAGCTGTACCCAGTTTGGCTCTGCACACACAGCTGATGATGATTGCTGATTAAAGGGCAGGGAAGCGTCAGATAACTCCCTTGTATTTTGGGTGTGATGCAGCTTCTGAGTGTTTTTGCAGGAGAAGGGTGAAGTTTGAGCAGTTTGTAGCCCTACTGAGAGATCAGAGAATAAGCCTTTTTGTTACCCTGCTAGGCTGAGTAGAGATTTCTTAAGGACTGACTGTGAGCAAAATGGCAGAATATCCTTGAGTGAGTTACTGGGAGCTGTGTGCTTTCTTGGGAGTGGGAGATGGGAAGGGGAAGAAGTTCCCCTTGATGAGGGCAAGGAGGCAGTGAAGGGAAGAGTGCTCAGGCTGATCTGAGCCAGGCCTGGGGACTTGTTACATCCCAGCTTCAGGCACTGAGGGTTATAAATACAGCAGCTGTTTCGGAGCGGGCTTGGTGGCTCATTGCTGCTGGACAGAATCCTTTGAGCTCCTTTTTTGCCTGAAAGGTGCTGATCCATTGCCTACTTCAGCTCTGGGACGCCCAAGGGCAGCTGTGGGGCACCCCCTGGGAGGCTATGCTGAGCTGTGGTACAGACTGCACCCCTGCCTCCTTATGTGATTGCTCCAGTGATTAATGATAGTGGCTGTTTAAAAACCTGGTGCCTCATTTGCAGTCTAAACTTGTCTAGTTACAGACTCTAGCCAGGGGCTATTTATCTCCTTGTGCAGGCTCTGGAGGTGGGCACCGTGGGGGAAGGGGTAAGTGCTCACCCGTGGGTGGGAGATGAATGTAGCCATTTTCTCCGATATCTTGTGGGAATTGTTTTCCGGCTGCAGAATCTCACAGGCATCACGTTGCCCCTGAGGGGAGGAGGTCTCTGCCTTTGCAGAGCCCCACAGAGAAGCCCTAGGCTCCAAGGATGCCCCAGCAAGATCTGCTTTTGATGGTAAATCAGGGCTGTCTTTGGTTGCACAAACAGCAAAGGTGCAGTGGGAGTACTGTGAGCTTGAAGGCTCTGAGTTAAAAAACTTAGCAACACAGTTATGTCATCTTGGAAATTGAATCTGTCCTTACTGTGTTTGGTTCAGAGGGGTTTCCTAGCTGGTCAGTAAGCTGCAACAGCCCAAGTCCCTCCAGAGCTGGGAGAGGGACACTGAAAAGCCAATAAATGGGGTCTGTGACACTGTCACCAAATAGAGGATATACACAGGCCTTAAACACAAATACAGCTGCTGTGTAGAAAGGGAGTCTTGCTGCTGGCTTTCTTCTTGGGGTACTGCCTTTGCGAAACACCCACATCCTTCCATGACTGCAAAAACGTTCCGCCTGTCTGGGGCTGGCTCTGCAGTTCCCCAAGCCATCCTAGGTGCTAGGCAAGAGGGGTCTACATGAGGCAGTGGTGGCAAAGGAAGTGCTCACATGTGATGCCAAAATGAGCAGGATGCGCATACTGAAGCAGGGCTTGCTTTTGCACTGGATTATCTTAAAAATGTATTTATTTCCTACTTTATCTGTGTAACTTCTGCAGCGGAAATGTGGCAGCAGGCACCAGTATTTGGGTGCACTGCTGAAGTGCAGTGGGTTCCCCTTGAAGTGGCTCTTGGTTAATCAGGGAGACACAGGGCCTGGTGATCCCTGTGACCGTGATGCTTCAGGTTTGGGATCAGGGCTGGGGCTCCCTGGGTGTGCTCCCTGCCTGTGCCCAGCACTGCCGGCTCTGAGGGCAGCTGAGCCTGGTGATGCTCCAGCGCTGCCCGGGTGGAAGCGCACAGCCCCGGGGGCGGGTCGCCGCTCGCCCCCCTCGCCTTGGCCCAGGGCCCCGGGAGCGCCCGGCCGCCTTCACTGATGGGCAAGCCCCTTCGCAGCGGGGTCTGCGGAGAGTCTGGCAAGGGTTAACGCCGAAACCCCACGCCCCCTTTGACGGAGTCAGACCAACCTCGCCAAATTTGAAAAGGCGTCCGGGGCCGAGTGTGCGCCCTGGGCGCAAAGAGCAGCGCCGGCCCCGGACCCCCTACGCGGGCAGCAGCCGCCGCCGGGGCTCGGCTTGCCGAGGGACGGGGCTTTCCTTTGGGAGCTGGAGCAGCGGTCTCTGCGTCCCGGACACCCCGGCCCTGTGGTCTTCGCTCCCGGCGGCATCTCCGCGCCCCGGGATCCCGCAGTGCCCCCGGCCGGGGGAGGTACGGTGGGGCTCCGCGCCTGCCGTGCAGTGTAAGAGGAAAAGAAGAGGCGGGAGGAAAACTGTTCTTGCAAAAATGCAGTTGGCTCTATTCTTGTCCTGGTGCTGCTGCCTGCATGGATGTGCGCTAGGGACTGGCTTTCTCTATCAATTCCCAGCATCAACCCTGCAGCACAACTACCCAGAGCAGAGCTCGGGCTCGCCGGGCAGCGGCTTCGCCAGTCGCCGGTGAGTAAGTCCGGGTCCGCCTCCCCAGCGAGGAGGCTGGGCTCCGTCGGGGGCTCCCGGGGGGAGCAACGGGAACGGCAAAACTGCGGGCGGCTGTAAGGGGCTGGGTGCGCTGCTGCTGCTTGGGAAGCCGGGCTGGGTTGCCCCATCCTACACGGAGTGGGGGAGGCTCCTACCTGCCTGCAGCAGTGGCTCTCTCTGGGGCAGGGAATCCAGGAGCTGAGCTTTGGCAAATGAAACCCGCAGACTCTCCCCCTTCTTGCCTCCCCCAGCCCGTCGGGGGAGGGGACGGTGGCTTTGCCGGTGTCCTTGTGCAGCCAGGGCCGTAAAACCTCCGGAACCGGGACACTGGCGATGCCGGCAGAGGGAACTGTTATAGCCCTCGGCTGCGAGGAAAAACTTGTTCAGCTCAACAAAGGAAAGACTTTAATTAAAGATCTCGATTCAAGAGCTGCAGCTTTCAAATAGCTGTTTAAAACCAAACCTCCCACTCTTCTTCTCTTTCCTCCCCCTAACCCAATTTCTTTTAAACTTACAGTAAATCAAAACTGATTTACATTATCTTGGAGCTTCAGTAGAGCAAACAATTTAGGCTTCTCCCCCTTGCCTCTGTTTTTTCTGGGTATTTCTCTAGAGATGAAACAGCTGTTCAGATAAATGAGCCACACTGTATAAACCAAGAGAGTGGCTTAATCTGACTCGAGTTGTTCTTGAATTTCACTTTTTTTTTTTTTTTCCCCTGTGATTCCCTTAAACGGGGACTTGGGATTTTAATATTCAGGACTCATCTATCCTGTCTCTACCTCTTTTCCTCCTTCCCTGGCTAGTACCTAGTATTCATGAGTTATGCCACTGTGGAAGGGGGTTTAGGCTAGCACCGCTTATTTGGGCTAGGAATTGGGGTAAGGCATCTACACAGCAGATTTACATCGGCGTGTCACAGAAGTACAAGTGTGTGCTAGCCTTGTGCCTTGCACGGTTCTCACATATGGTGCATATTTCATCTCCAAGTGGGGGTGGTTTTGTTTGCTGGCCTGTCAAACAGATCTCAGTCTGTAGGGGGTGTGATGTTAAACTACAGTAACTGTCAAAGGGTTTGAAATGGCAAAAAATTATAGGAGAGTAATGGGATAAACCTATCCCAGCTGGATCTGTTCCAAGGTACCCACTTCCCAAAGCTTGAGCTACAATGAGAACCACATGTCATTTGTCTTACATATCTATTAGCCTGCAGATCTTTGCTCAGAGCTACCACGCCTTACATGAGTGCGAACGGTATCTCTGTTCACCAAAGATCTTCCCCAGTTCATACCCTTGCATGATTTTTCCATGCCTCAATTGTTTGGATAGCTGATGCCTTGTCAGGGGAATGTGTCCCTCTCCAAGTCTATAAAAATGTTGTATAAAACCATCTAAAGCTGATTTAAACAATGATGTTGGGAAAGCTGGTAGATTAATTATTTTTTTGTCCAGTGGAACTTTGCCATGTGAGAATCTCCCAGTTTAAAGCAGAGGGGGAAATAAAAAACTAAAGGGAGGGGGAAAATCACTGGGGGATGTTTTGAAATAAAAATTCTTAATCAAATATCATACTTTGAAGCAATCTTTGTATGTTTTAGTTTCCTCTTGAGTGGTGGAGTTTTGTTGTTGGCAAATGTCTAATGGCTTCACTTTCTGATGGGAAAATCTGTGTGGGAAAACTTTACACAATGTTGGACCTCTGGGAGGAGCCTCCTGCAGGGTACAGCTTCAGGTTGGGATAGCTGTGCTTTTCTGGATTTAATACGGTGCTGGAGAAGAATGAGGCTTTTTGCTCTGAAGTCTCTGTGGGTGTGAAGCCTTTTTTCAGGGGACTGAATGACGCTGGTATGAACTGGTTATGTTGTTCAGTTCCCTTTTGCCGTCTAAACAGGGGATCTTAGTAGCACCTGAATTATGTCAAGCAATAGCAGCTCTGTCACAGCAGAGCTTGCCGGTCTCTGCCCTGAAGAGGCTGTGGAGGACACAAGATGGTGGGTAGGTGATTGCTATTAATGGCATTACATGGCATGGCATTACCAGACACTTTCTTGTCTGGAACCTTCCCAGTGAGTGCTTTGTCCAGTAACTTCTGGTGCTTCTCCTGTGTGCCATCAGCCAAGTGTAAACAAGCCAAAGCTCTGAAAGTTCCTGGGTTTTGGTATGTTGCAGCACAGACTGGTGCGATGCTCCAGAGCTGACCTGCTTCCTTGATACAAGACAAACGATGTTCCTGCAGTTGTCTTTTTCTGTCCTTGTTCAGCAAGTGAAGACATGATTGAGCTGCTTGGGAATCTGCTTTCAATTTTTTTAAAATTAGCTTGTCAGAGTTGTATATCTCTTGGGGGGAGGTGGGGAGGGAAATAGTTGCTTGAGTCTTTTACCTTCTACCTAGAAAACCATTCAAAACTCAATAGCTGATATAGTCTTTGGTATCCAGGTTGCAGGCTGTCTCAAAGGTTTGCTTTGGAGGCTCTGAGGACTGCTGAGCATTTTTTCTGCCTGATAACCAAGATCCTGGGCGGTGAAAAAAGCTGGGTGGCACGGAAGGGTAGAGGGAAATTTGGAGGAAAAGAAAAATTCACATCCTTTGAAATGAAATTATGGCATACTTGTTCTGATGGAATGTTGCATGGTTTCTCTTTTTAAAATGAAGAGTCTAGCTTCTGGTTGACTTCAGTTGACAGGTCTTGGTTATTAGACGGAAGGTAGTTGCAGTCTATCTTTGCATGTGCTTGAATTGCTTTGAACCTTCTGTAGGGGATGTGCAAGTGATAAAGACTGAAATCCAAGCAGTGTCTGTTGGCATTTGTAGATTGTTAGCAGTCTCACTGTTTTGCTTGAAAATTGCATTCAGTGCATACATTTCTAATTTGCTACTGTGCTAAGGCAGTGAGAATGGGAAAGTGGGTCTTACCCAAAGCATAAGAATGGAGGGGCTATCTGCCAAGCAGAAATTATTTTCCTCTGGACTTGGCCATGAGGAGCTTTGCTAATGGAGTTAAGGGAAGCTTGTTCCCATGCTGCAAGTAGCTTGGTTCTCAAAGAACTCCTGTGTCTCTGTTGTCTTTAGAATTGGTGTTCTCCCAGCTTAACTACTTATCCTGTTGTCTTGTAGTTTCAAATTAGTCAAGTCCTTGTGAACTCAAGTGTGCGAGTTAGAAGCTTCTGAGACTAGATGCAGTGCTTAGGCTGGAAACCTCTTTGGATGTGAGGTAGAAGTAGCTGAAAAAAAAGCCCCAAACATGAACCAGAAAGTAACTCTTTCTTGCTTTACAGTAGCATTGCAAAAGTCAGCTGGGGTGGATGCAAAGTCTGACTGTGACAAATAGACCTGAAAAACACTTACACTTCAGCCTAAAAATGTCTTCCTCTGAGTGAACTTTAGAACCACAACGTTACAAATAACAGGACTGTCCAAATAGGTGTTCTTATCCAAACCGTACTGGTAATTACAAATCAGTACTTATTTTGGTCATGCAGCAATTCCTAGTGCTTGCTACAGCAGTGAAGTTTCTTGAGGATGGATATGGAGAGGAAAGTAACATCAGTCAATTGAAATCTCTAAGTGCAACTTTTGAATGTTAGAGGCAGAGGCTTCCACATGGAAGGCCTGGCAGCTTCATCCCTTCTTGTTGCCACATACGTGCCTCAGAGCACAGCCCAGGAGGGCGAGACCTGGGTGCCAGTTGTGCCTCTACCAATGGTTTGCTCTGTGTCAGAGGGCAAATTTGCTATGAATTCAGTGAAACAATTAAACATGTTCTGTGCACTGCTTTGATGTGGGAAAGTAATTTAAACTAACATCATCTTTCCTGTGCTATAGCTTGTCTTAGTTTTTCCCCTTGAAAAACCTGAAGTGTTGATGATTTCAGATGTTTGGGTGATGCTTGAAATATCTTGTCAATTATTCCTTGAGACTAGCAGTCTCCTAATAGGACACTTGAATGGCTGGCTTTCAAGATCAAGTTGGGTGGACCTGTTCTCCTAGATCTGTTCTTTTCAAAATAGCTGCCTGCATTGTGCTTGGTCCTGCACGTTTGCTAGGGTGGAGTTGCCCTTCTCAGCCCCATTTGAAGGACTGTGCACAACTGTGCACAACTGTGCACTGTAACGTAACAACCTTCAGCCTCCTAGATGAGGTTTCTAGTGTTTTTAAGTAAGAGTGGATCTCTTTATGTGACAAAGCCTGTTCTTAATATTAAAAGGTGATCTATGAATCAGTATCCTGATCTATGCAGTCTGTCAGACTGCTTTCAGAACACGTATCTGAAGTTTTCATAATGGTTGACTGCTAATTCTCTCTTCAGCAGAGAAAGATGATTTGAACCTGATTTCAGCCCCAAGTTCTGAACCTTTTGTGGCTTTTAAGTAGGTGTGGAATATAAAGCTATACATATTGGAGAAATGTGGTTTTTTCCTTTTACTGACAATATCTTGCTTTCTGAGTCATTCCCTCCGTCACCAAATAGTCTGTTCATTGCCTGAGGTCTCTGGTTTTCTATGATTTGCTATGGATGGTGTGGAGATGTCAAGCAAACAAACTGGGATTTCTGTTGCGCTGAGTCCTCTGCGCCAGTTCCCCTTTGAAGTGCCCTACCCAGGTAACCAAGGGGTCAGGAGGTCTTTAAGCTCATCACCAAACCCTTGAACTATTCGACATCTGTTTCCTGGACTCTGCAGCCATATGATCTTCATCTGACTTGTGGGGTTCAGTGCTGTAACTTTGCAGTGCAGTTAACAGCTAAGCCAATGGCAGCGTAAGGACCTAGTGACACTGGAATGGCTTTGAAATACCAGACATAGGTAGTTACTGCAGTAAATTGTATTCGTTTAGGAAATCTCCTACTGTCTTGCATTTCCAGCTACTTGTGTGAATCATTTCCTCTCATGTAGGTTTCCTTTACCAGCCCTAGGAAGGAAAAGGGAGTGGAGAGGCAAAGCAATGGGTGGCAATGAACTTGTGCTCCCCTTGGATAAAT